CTGGCGAGGATGTGGAGCAAGAGGAACACTTCTTCAATGCTGGTAGAAGTGCAAACTTGTACAACCATTTTGGAAAGCAATTTGATGGTTTCTCAGAAAACTGGGAATAGTTCTACCTCAAGACCCAGCTATACCACTCCTGGGAATATATCCAAAAGATGTTCCAACACCCTTGCTCAACTATGTTAATAGCAGCTTAATTCATAATAGCCAGACACTGGAAATAACCTAGATGTCCCTCGTCTGAAGAATGGATAAAGAACATGTGGTACATCTACACAATGGAATACTATTCAACTATTAAAAACAAGGGCATCATGAATTTTGAAGGCAAATGGAAGGAACTTGAGAATATCATCCTGAGTGAGTTTCTTAGGGTTTTACTGTTGTGAACAGACACCATGACCAAGGCAACTCTTATAAGGACAACATTTATTTGGGGCTGGCTTACAGGTTCAGGGGCTCAGTCCATTATCATCAAGGCTGGAGCATGGCAGCATCCAGGCAGACATGGTGCAGGAGGAGCTGAAAGGTCTACGTCTTCCTCTGCAGGCCTCTAAGAGAAGACTAACTTCCAAGCAGCTAGGACTAGGGTATTAAAGCCCACGCCCACAGTGACACACCTCCTCCAACAAGGCCACACCTCCTTATAGTTCCATCCCCTGCCCCAAGCATACACAAACCATCACAGTGAGGTAACCCAGTCCCAAAAAGACATGCACAGAATGTACTCACTTGTAAGTGGATATTAGCCATAAAATACAGGTACACTCCACAGATCCAAAGAAGCGGAACAAGTCGACAGAACGCGGCAGCAGTGTCAAGAGGAAGTCGCTTGTGCTCGGTTTGGAGTTCTTTGTCTTTACTGTTACTCCCCTGTACTGGGAAGACAAAAGAAATACAAAACTGAAAAGGACAGAGACAGGATATCATCAGAGAGCTGCAACTGGAGGGATTTAAAATGTCAACAAAGGGGGTAAGGAAAGCAAAGACATCACAGAAGGCTGGTTAACTTAAGCATGACCATATAACCAGCTGAAAACGTTCGAACCTGTAAATAAAGATGCTGAGGGGGTTAAAATAGTGCACCTAGTTAGGGGGAGCAAACAAAAGAGAACTAAGCGGCAGGCACAAGGTAAGGAAGACACTAGGATTCGTCGGAAATCCAAGGACTTGGCTCCTTTAGAAAGGAGACTATAAGGGAAATGGAATGGAATGTTTATCTTCGTTTGCTGGGCAGCAAAGCACAGTCCTCCTACCAGAGGGAAGAGGAGCCTGCTACCAAGGCCAGCCTGGGCTACACGGCAAGCTCCTAGCTTGAGGGTACAGAAATAATGCTGAATGTCCAAAAGCAGGTAAGAAAATGAATCACCTAACCTTGTTTGCGACACATTAACTGGAGGTTCTATGCTAAAGAAAATTCCGTGCAAACATTACGTGAAGACAGCGTGTTTGTCCTGAGGAAAGAATATGTGTACTAAAGTAGTGGTACGTTGTCCATCAAGGGATAGTTATTCAGTTTTCAATAAATCCTCAACTGCCTCAGAGGTAGAGCAAAAGCTCTGAGAAAAAGCTAGGTACGTAAGCGATGAGATTGTTTGAAGAGTTAAACATTCCTCCTCCTCCTCCTCCTCCTCCTCCTCCTCCTCCTCCTCCTCCTCTCCTTCTTTTGTTTTGTTTTTTTTGAGGGGCCGTGTTTATGTATGAGTGTTCTGTCTGATTAACACCTGCTGCCAGAAGAGGGCGTACGATCCCTTTATGAGCAAACCATGTGGTTACTAGGAATTGAACTCAGGACCAATGGAAGAGCAATCTGTGTTCTTAACCCTATCTTAACAGCCCAGCTCTCTAGATTTTAAGAAATAAACACCTGCCTATTTGTGTTAGAAAACACAACTGTTAGAATTTGGACAAAATTATTTGGATTCGATGCATACCAGTGACTAGAAAGTTAAACTATGTGGGCCTCTTTTCCAATCTTACCCTCAAAAATCCCCAAAGCACTAGGGCCCTTTTTTCTTTTTTTTCAGGTAAGTACACAAATAATTTTAAACGTCAGGCATATATATAATATAGTATATACTATATGTATATATACTATATACAGTATAGATATTACTCTTCTGAACATACTCTTAACAAAAGCAAAACTATTATATATTATATATTTTATATTTTATATTATACATTAAATATTATATATAATTAACATATATTGTATATATAAAATATATAATTTATAATATTATTATTTATTTATATTTATTAATAATTTATATTATTTATATTTATTATTATATATAATTAACATATATTGTATATATAAAATATTTATATAATTTATAATAGTTTTGCTTTTGTTAAGAGTACGTTCAGAAAATAGTAATAGTGTATTCTGGAAGAGCGCATATTGTGCCGCGGGGACTGCGGCTGGCATTGGTCAGGTGGTCCTACCACGGGTTGCAGAGGACGCCGACTCACGAGCCGGGCCAGCCGCGCCCCAGAACCCTCCTCTCCTCTTCCCTCAGACGACGCTGGCCACTACCAAGAGTGGCTGCGGCACTGAGCAGGGCCAGTCCGTGGTCCAACCGCCAGACTAACACCCAGACTACCAGGGGACGGCTTCCGCGCCACAGCCCGGCGGGTTCCCACCTCAGCGCCACGCCCCGAACCTCGCTTCCGGACCCGAGGAGGAGGGCTTAAAGAAAATGCGTACCAATCGTTATGTAGATATGGAGAACGTCTGGCCTCTGGACCAACGAGAGAGCTGGTGGGCGGAGCCAAGGGCGTGGGCTCGCTCCGGGATTTAAACTTGAACAGAGGACCGTTAACGACTACTCTGAGCGTGGGGGAGTTGTGCGCCTGCGCGGGTGGGAAACTGCTCGGCAGTCAGCGGAGACTGCTAGACGCTCGGCAGCGGCGGCCGAGGCTGGTGAGGATCGCGGAGTGGGGGCGGTGGACTTTTCCTGCGACGGGATACAGCGGAGACCCGCGCTCCTTCCTCGGCTGCTGCGCGTGGATTCCCGTTTTCTTCCCTGCCAGGCTCTTGCGTTCAAGGTAAATCTCGGCGTGCGCCGCTCGGGACGTCTTTAACCCGCTGCCGGGGCACAGGCCGCCCGTACCCCTGCAGGTCACAATGTAATGTACACCCTGCCTGCGCCACCTTTTCCCGGCGGGCAAGCGAGCGGACTGAGCTCTCCCTGCCAGCGTGGAAACGGGGATGGGTCCCTGGGGAAGACGAGCTCCCGGCACGCCCGTGGCCAGATGGTGAGACCGGTGTTGTTATTGTTGGAAGAGCAGGGAAGTAGCCTCCCGTTTGGGTTACACCTTTCGTGGATTCGTGCGTACAACCGGCTGTCCATACCGTTTGTTGAAGGATTTAAGATAGCAGGTAAAACTGAAGGAACCCCTCTAGGTGATCCTACTCCAGGGAGAGAGAAACCTTATGAAAGCTGTACAATACAAACAAAAATACTACAATGCCCTTTCTTTCAAGTTGGTTAGGTTTTTCAGTGTGCAGTGCTGATGAAAAAAAAAATAGAATAAAAAATAAAAGCACTCTAACGCGTGTGTCGAGGTAATCGTTTTTCATTTGATTTAGAAGTTAAATTGCACTATAATTTCAGTTATAGCCAAATCCAGTAATTTAAAGGGTTAAAAATCCCACCCTCTGAATCTTTTCAGCTGTAATTAACTAATCCTGAGTATTAAACTGTTTTTTTTTTCTTAAAGGAAAGATAAAAGAGGTATTTTAGTCAATATTACCCATATTTATCCTCAAAATATAAGATGGTTTAGCTTCTCGTGAGATCGTTGTGTTTTATTTAAAAAGCAAAGGAACTGAGTATAACCCGTAAACATGAAAAGTTGCATTTCACTTTATTAGCATCTACATATTTGAGGTGTAAAAATGAAGGGGACATAATTTGAACACCAGGGAACAGGACTTTATCACTGGTAAGGATGCCATTAAAAATCATCTTGGCAGCCGGGCGGTGGTGGCGCACGCCTTTAATCCCAGCACTTGGGAGGCAGAGGCAGGCTGATTTCTGAGTTCGAGGCCAGCCTGGTCTACCAAGTGAGTTCCAGGACAGCCAGAACTACACAGAGAAACCCTGTCTTGAAAAACCAAAAAAAAAAAAAAAAAAAAAAAAAAAAAAAAATCATCTTGGCTTTAGTCTAAAATCACCCCAGGCCAACTCCAGAAGAGACACATAGATGTCTCAAACTTCAAAACCTTTGGAAATAATCCCACTTTTAAAATGAAATAAGCTTTAAGCCCTACTTTACATTTTTCTAACATTCAGTCCTACTTCGGAGTTTGTATGAATACTACCTCTCTGAAGTAATTTTGTAAAAATACATGTTGGAGCTTCTCATTTGTTGCTTTTGTGATGACTGACAACCAGTAAGGTAACTGAATCCATTTTCTTTTTATTCATACCCAGACAACCTCTTGAAAGGATTTGCCTCAGCCCTGAACTCCTGGAGTGTAACACCCTTTAGTTAGGGCTTCCCCTCCCACCTCCCCAGTGTACTGTTGCTTTGGAGCTGACTTTGTAAATGTTTCTTAAAGTAAGTTTTTCTTTTCTAGGTTTCCTTTTTGTTAACTCAAAGACAGCCAGTCAATGCAAACCAAAATAAGGTAAGAAACTGCTCTAACGACCAGAGTTGGGATTCCAGCACCCAATGCATGGCTCACAAATGCCTCTAATTCCAGCTCCAAGAAATCTAAAGATGCCTTCTCCTGACCTCTGTGGACACCCATGTGTACAGAGTCACATAAAGGACAAAACAGTCCTTTCTAGACTGTTACATGACAGCTGGCTTGTGTCACTGCTCTCCTGGCTCCTCTGCTGGGCTGTGAAAGCTGTACTGTGTTGCACCACTCCTCACTTCCCTGAAGCTAACTGGACCTCTTTACTGAAGTCTCTGATTCTATACTATACTCTCCCCGAGGAGCTCTAGCACTTAGGCAGCACCAGAATACTGTAATACTGTTTGTGTTTATATGTTCCTTTATTTAGCAATTTCAGAACATGATGTGTTTTGGGTCTTGAACAAACTAGTTACTTGTTGATTGGTAAATAAAAAATGCTTGGGTTTTGTCTAGTAAATCTGCATAACACTACTGCATTGACAAGTTACTAAGGTAGACACCTAAGTTATTTTGCTATGGTATTTATTGTTAGAAAGGACAATGAGTTAAGAATTGTGTATGCTTGAGTAAATATTAGCATTTATAAATATTAGCAATGCTTTTCCTACATAATTTTTTTTAAACTTCTCCATGGCTCTAGAAAATAATGAATGTGACACACTGCTTACCTAAATTAACCTTTTGTCAATTTCCAGCCATACTAAGTATTTGCTAATTTCCAACCCTTTAAACAACTTGTATATTCCACCTTAGACTCAAAGCTTTTTCATGTGTGGTTGTTGAGAAAGGGTTTCTAATAGCCCAGGCTGTCCTTGAAGTCACTGTGTAGTGAAGAGATAACTTTGAACTAGATTCTGTCTCCACCCAAAGGCTGGGAGTATAGGTGTGTGTCTCTGCACCTCAAGGCTCAAACTTCTTTCCTTCCTCTGTCTTCAAGTTCTCCAGAGTTGAACCTTCCAGAACTTGGTCAACAAGAACCAAAATGTTTTTACAACTCTAAAGGGCCCTAAGATGAGTTCAATATACCATTTTTTTCAAAACCTAAGAAGTATTTACTCCTGCCCTTAGTAAAAACAAGTTTGCCAGCCTCTGCACTTAGCTGCCTGATTAAAGCATGCTCTGCAGCCTTGAGCTCAGTGGGTTCCAGGCAGTGTCATGCCTGACACAGAATTCATCTATCTTTAACTGATGAATTCTTAGGAAGTAAGACACTGTGGCAAAGATCTTTCAGATTAGTAGTTATCACATATGCCTTGAAAAAGAACAACAAATATATTGGTAGACCAGGCGTTAATGGATTTGAACACAAGGCATAAATTTCCAGGTGCACATAACTGTCAAGTGCTTTTTGCTTCTTTCATTTCATAATTCTTTTGGACAGAGATTAGAGAATATACCTTTTACTGTTTAAGAACTTGTTAGGCCTTTTGCCAGTCATTAGAATTTTAATTGGTTGTTGCTCCCCGGATCCTGGTAGAGATACCAGGTTCCTGGGATTATACAATGGTGTTAATTTCTGCATCTATTATACAAACCCTCTTTGTTGGATTCTCTAAAACAGTATTTTCTTCTTTGTCAGCACAGTCCCTCTTGGCTTTCTTTTCTTCCTTATGGAGTAAATGTGGGTTTTCAATTCGTCCTCTTCGTACAAAATGCTGGATCCGGGATTCCAGTCCTTGGCATTTAGGGCGATCCATGAGGGGCTTATATGTACGCGTCTTCACTCCTTCTACAAAGGCACTAGTGTGCTTTATGACAGAGGGTTGAATGTTTCTCCATTCTGTTGCTTCCTCCATCTTTGTTCCTGCTGCACATGTTACCATAACAGAGTCTAGTCCTTGTAGCATACTGTATAGCATATGAGTTTTAACAGCATGATTAGCCCATAGCTGTTGTAGGTGGGTAACATTGAATTCCTGAACCTCGTGATCATAAATCCACTTGGCATTTTCAAATTTACAGTCATACAAGACTAGAGGAAATTCAACAGCCATGCTAAAGAGAAACAAGTATGAGAATACACAGTAGTTAGCCAATGGTTCTTTTTTAAAATACTGAGCTTTAGTTGAAATTAGGGGGGCAGGGACGAGCCACTAATGTCAATGGCAACTATCTTAATCTGGAGCAAAACAAAAAAAGTGACAATCAATTTGACCTGTACTAAGTGAATGTCAGTGGTAATGAATCAAGACATGAGCTGATAGGGCTCCCCATCATACAGAAAAGTTAAAGCAGTTTATCCAGATTTGTCTGTGACATTCTCACACCCTAGGAATGAACTACTGGGACAGTGAGAAAAACTAGTAGATAGCACCCCCTCTTAAATGTTCATAACATTCTACACATTACAAGTTTATAGAGAAAGTTGAGGAGATGGTTCAGTGGTTAGGAGCATTAGCTGTTCTTCCAGAGGACCCAGGTTCAATTCCCAGTACCCACATAGTGACCTACAACCTTCTATAACTCCGGTTCCAAAATATCTGACACCACCTTTAGCCTATGTGGTTAACAGGTACACAGGTAGTTCTCAGACATACAAGTAGGCAAAAAACCCATACACATAAAGTATAAAGTTTAATGAGGGCAGTCTCATTGGTGAGTAATCTCAATAATGGGAGGGACAGGATATACTAGTTTGATTTAACTTACCTATATTGAGGCTTCTGGGGATTTTTCTGTATGTTCAGCAATTCATCAATAATCTCAGGCTTCTCCATTCCTTGGCCAATCAGGAAGAGGATAGCCATCATACACCGAACTTGATGATACAAGAATGCCTGGCCAGTCACTTCAAATTGACATAACTGGAATGGTTCTTGCCTTCTCTCCTCACCTGGGCTCTGGGTCACTAGTTGTACTTGGGCAGACAGAATAGTCCTCTGAAAATTAATCACTCCATTGGCTACATCCATTTTACACAAGTTTCTGAAATCATGAGTGCCAACATATTTCTGAGCTGCATAATTCATGGTTGCAATATCTAAATCAGCACGAGGAAAAAAATAGCGGTAAGTCCGCTCAAGACAGCAAAACCTAGCACTGAAGCTAGGTTCTACAGGGGCCCAGGCCAATACTCGGATGTCTGCAGGGAGCACCCGGTTGAGAATGTGAGTATAACGGATCTCTTTAGCAACATCATCAGCTTCATCTTTTAAACTAGAATCTTCTGAAACCCTGTTCCTTGGAAACTGAGAACGTAGGTCCAGAGAAATCACCTGTGGAATTATAGAGAGAAATTGTTTCAGAGCTATCAAGACTCAGGATGTACACTCAGATTTTCCTGTTATTACTGGCGCTGAGAAACAAAGTATTGGCCCTTACCTGTCCAAAGGCACTGACTCCTTTGTCTGTTCGACCACACCGGTGATAGTTGGATGTCTGTCTGCTTTCTACTAGCCGGGTCTTAGTTAAAGCCTCAAACAGTTTCTCTTCAATGGTATTGCTTGTGTTTTCCTGACTGGCAAATCCCTGGTATCCCCAGCCTAGATAGGCTATTTTTAGAGCTACATGTCTACGGCCATGAGCACTGAAATCAAAAGCACGCTTAGCTTTTCCAGAGCCTAAAGCATTTTCTCTGAGGCTTGAGTCTTTGGTATTGTTGGCCTGTTCTTTCTTAAGTCTTTCCACCTCCTGTTCCAGTTCCTTTACTCTACTGAGGAGCTTCTCAATCTGGTTTCTGTCTGTGTTTTCAGCCATGACATCCCCAGGAGGCAATCCTGCAGGTCCACCCTGTGGAAAGATAAGTGAGGTGATATATCAATTTCAGTGCTGGTTCCTTTGATGTGTCACATGATTAAATATCTAGACTGAGCATGGTAGTGCAAAATTCGAGTCCTAGTACTTGAAAGACGGACAGAAGGATAAGTTTTAGGAGGCCAGTCAGGACTACAGAACAAGACACTACCTCCAGAAAACAAGAATAGCTAAGATTTAAGTTGATATTGACGAGTGTAAGGTTTGACTTGCCCAGCATGCCCACAATAATAGTTTATTATGGATTCATCACTCAGACACTGTTCTTTCATTTGTCATCTGGCTACTTCATAAAAGGAAAAGGGAAAAAAAATTCACCCTTTTTTAAATTTAGGGAAATGTCTCAATTTTATTTGTTTGTCACTAGCCAAGATGAGTGAGGACTCAGGTTGGCCATTTTCTCCCTGTAACATTTCCTCTTGATTTCTTGGTACATTTGTCCAGTATTTTTAATGGTAAGAATTATTTATGTGGGCTACTTATGACTGTCTCTATGTTTCTATTGTTTTATAATATTTGAAGTAAGGGGCCTATACATTGTTATCTAATGTTCTGTTTTGTTCTAAGGTGGCACAACAGAAGCTATCTTAATTGAAGAAATACTATCCATGATTCTTTTTCCCATTGGGAGGAGAACCTGGAGACAAATTTTCCTTACTTTAAGCAGTTTTAATGGCAGAAAAAAGGTAATAATTACTAACTTTTTTACAACCAAATTTCATGTGTTTATAAAAGATTTCTATCACAGTTGGGTTAGTCTGACATAATTTGGATCTAGAAGGTGAAATTTGTGATGTATTTCAGTAACCAAAGGGCAGTGATGACAGTCTGAATACTGAGGTGGTTCTGTGACTGTGAGGACTTGGTTAGCATTTCTATATCTGTTCTAAGGCTGTGTCTTAAAGTTCCATTTTAATCCTTAGAGTTTATGATAGAAAGTTAAATATTTAAATCTTGTGGGTCAAACTAAAATTACTAGAAGACAGGAAATGCCCTTTTGGTTTTTCAAGACAGGGTTTCTCTATGTAGCCCTGGCTAAGCTAGAACTCGATCTGTAGACCAGGCTGACCTTGAATTCAGAGCTCTACCTGCCTCTAGCTCCCAACTGCTAGGATTAAGCCTTTTCTTATATTATTAAGTCATCTGAGAGAGCTTTGGGAGGAGCAATACTAGCAACTGCACTTACAGCCTCCTGTATGCTACGCGGCCACTCCTGTCACTAAGCTATGTCCCTAGCAGAAAGGAGTTTCTAAGTAAAGCACTATAAAACCCAAGAACTGTAGGAGAAAGAAAACCAACTACCTAAAAAATAAAACACTTAGGCTAGCAAGAATCGACTTTAAAAGGTTAACAACAAACAAAACTTGGGATGTAGCACAATGGTAGAACACCTGCTGACTTATATGCAAGACCTAGGTTTGATTTCACACTTAGAACTTGCATATAGCTTAGGATGTAAGTATAATCAGTTTTAATATGGAGAGGAATAAAACGTTAACAAACTGAGAGGTAAAGGAGCAAAGACCAGCTATTTGATGCAAAAGGAGAAAAAGCTTATGAAAATCTGTTCAAGCAAATGAAGAGAATTGGAATTATGGAATAGCCCACAAAGACGAGAACATTTGATGGTATTAGCACTATGGAGGGAGGGGTGGAAAACAAGTGATTATAAGTCTGGATTGCGTCAGTAAGGGACTGGATGAATTTGGTCAAATGTTAAATGGTGAAGTAAGTTTTCCTGTACTGACAGGAAAACCACAACTCTGTAAAGTTCAGAAAGGCCTTACCCCATGCTGCTTTATAGTGGGGGAAAAAAATCAGTCTGAATGTGGAAAATTCTAGAAAACTGCTAAGAAATTGCCTTCTAGAGAAATTTCATTAAGGAGAGGAAATCCGTGCTTAAAATTATGCATGAGTTTTCAATCTCAAGAGAAAAGGAAAGAAACAAAGTAGCAGGCAATAGATTACCTACCTTAAATCCAGTCAGGAAACCAACCACTGGGTGTTGAAGAGAATGTATATTCAAATTATTTTTTTAGAACAGATTTATCTTGGAGTATATGCATTCACATGTATGTTGTGTGCATGTATAATGTTACTCTTTTGTTGTTCGAGTTGTATCACTTAGGAATAAAAGCAAGGACTAAGTGTGATTCACACTGCCAGGGCTACAACTCCAGCTCTGCTGTTTACTAGCTATGTACCTTTTACAAAGTTAACTTCTTGGAGCTTCCTGTGAAAAGGAACTAAGCCTAAAATATAAAATTACATGGATTAATAAAACACCTAAGAGTGAGGCCGTACATATAAAGCATTCTCTAAGCATATTATAGAATGTTCACTAAGTAAGCATCATGCTCCATTACATGTAGTCTCAAGCTTTACATAGCTTTACATATGTAGAACTCAGGCCATATCATGTGATAAGGCAATAGAAAATGTAAGAAATGAATAGAAATGAATGTAAGAAATAGGTATCTCTACGACAACTATTTGCCATTTTCCATTTAAAAGATCGAGACAAAAAAAACGAGGGCATTAGGTAGAATCTGACCAATATTATCTCTTACAGACAAGCTTATAGTGTACAAGAAGCAATGGAGCAACTAATAGGACCTGGTGGACAAAAGTGGGCCAATATGGATCCAGAAGAACGGATGTTAGCTGCAGCTACAGCATTTACACATATCTGTGCAGGGCAGGGTGAAGGAGATTCAAGGAGGGAAGCCCAGGCTGGCCAGTATGATCCCTACAGTAAAGCCTCCATAACACCAGGAAAGAGACCTGCTCTTCCTATGCACCTGCACTTCCCATATACAGGAAGCCGTGTCACTTCATCAACAGTTTCAGAGACTTCCCAAAAATGCAGAAAACCAGTGATGAAGAGGAAGGTGCTGCGCAGAAAGCCAGACGGGGAAGTGCTAGTGACAGATGAGTCTGTTGTCAGTGAGTCTGAATCTGGCACGGAAAGTGATTTGGATCTCTGGGACCTGAGACACAGGCTGATGAACCTACAATTCCAAGACAGCACAGAATCCCCAGCTGACACCTCACAAAAATATAACCTTCCGTGTGAATACCAAGGAGTTTCACAAGAAGATCAGCTCATTTGCTATCTACGAAGAGAAGAAATGGGCCCTCCTGTTTATGAACAAGACTTGATTGTTGCCAGCAGACCCAAGTCCTTTATTCTCCCCAGACTGGATCAGTTAAGCCGAAACCGAGGCAAGATAGACCGAGTAGCCAGATATTTTGAGTACAAAAGGGATTGGGATGCGATGCGGTTTCCTGGTGAGGATCATAGAAAGGAGTTACGCTGGAGTGTCCGAGGGCAAATGCTTTCCCGAACAGAACCTCAGTCCAAGCCACAACATGTATATGTTCCAAACAATTACCTAGTACCAACTGAGAAGAAAAGATCTGCCCTCCGTTGGGGTGTCCGTTGCGACCTTGCAAATGGTGTCATACCCAAGAAGCTTCCCTTCCCTCTTTCTCCTTCTTAAGTCCTTTTTTAAAAAAAACCTGTTTCTCCTACCAAAGGATTTAGAATAACCTAGTTCTTTATCTCTCCTTTAAATACAACTGCCTTGAAAAGAGGCAGAACACAGAATAAATACTTCACTGGTTCTTCCTAGCATTGTTGGTATGTCACACAGATACCATGCACCACTTGAATTTCCAAATTGCCATTCTCAAATACAGCAATTGGGGGTGGGGGGGAACTACTGAAATTTGTCAAAATAAGTGCCATTTTGAAAAGACTTGTAAACTAGTGAGTTTTTTTTTAATTTAGTATTAAGCTCATCTATTAAAGAATTTTGGAAAACGACGAGTTTGAACCTTGTTTTAAGTATTTCCCAATATAAGAGGACCTTAGATCTAGGCTGTGATTCTCCCTCTGATCACCTAATGATACTCAAAAAGGTTTTGCATACAGCCTGACACGAAACCAGATACAAATTAACTGGACTGGTATCGATCTTGATAGTCCAGTAAGGAATATTTAAAAATCAGCTGTCTCTTTCAGGCACCAAACTTAGGCCTGAAAGCTGAGTGTTTGTTCAAGAAGGAAAAATACTAAACATAAGTAGCACTGGCAATTACTAGCTGCTAAAACATTTTCTGAACAAATTTAATGTAGAATACATTTACCCAGTTCCACCCACTGCGAGACACATTATCAAGAAGAAAAATAATCAGGACACAGCTACTTATTGAGTCCACTCACTCCAAGAAAGTAAAAACTGCAAACTCAGTGGTGTGTCGGAGCCAGAACTAGGCCACAAATGCCTGGGAATACATAGTAAGTGGTACTTTGTAAAGTCATACATTTAGAGCACAGGGAAAAGTTTAAACTCAACTCTAGGTGCAGGATTAAAAGCATATCAGCTTTTCAAAACGCTTGGTTTGGGGGGAAAAAATAATTGACTTTTACCTGAACTTCAAAGTTCAAATTACCAAAATCAGAAGGTTTTTCAAGGTAAGTATCCCAGTATTACTAAGTATTATTCTAAGAATGAATTGGGCCAGATCAATCCAGACACCAGGCAGACTTTTTTTTTTTTTAAGTCATGACCCCAAGACTCTTGGCCCAGTATTGTTTGCTCCAGCACACTGTTTATTAGTGGAATTCAGAAGGTTGGCAGATACTATGTGGCAGTGACCAAATACCCACAGAGGGAATTCCTGGATGCACTAGGCATTCGTCCTAAAATAGCAAGACCCATATGTTCGAAACTTCTTTAAATGTTTAAAAAAAAAAAAAAAAAAAAACGGTGAGGGTACACATTTACTTTGTAATAAAGGGTTCGAGTCTCACTACGATCATTAACTCTGAAAAGTATCCTGTAAAGTACAACCCAAAATAAGCAATTTCCCGCCACCCCTTCCTCCCAGGGCATCTTTAATGGACTTGTACTGTTTATATTTGAGCGATTTTGGTGTAGTATAGGCCCTCTAAACTAGTTGCAGACTCTAAGCCCCGCTGCTGAGATTTCTTAGCTCCAAGAAGTTCCAGGCACCACATGGCATGCATTGTCCTAAGTCCTACTTCATACACCAAGGCCTTCTTGGAGCACATAAGTACCAGGGTAGGAGGTAGAAGTTCAGCCTCCCTCTGTTCATTCCTCTCTAGAACTCAAAGCTGCCACCTAAGAGTACACACTTACCTTCCGGTCTTCAGTGCGCGGCCATGCGACTAGCCATGCGGAAGCTGTGGCTTTCCGTCTTTTGTAAGCATGCGCAGCCTCACTAAGCGTGCGCCTGCGGTTCTGGGAAATGTAGTTCCGAAGGCCCGGCGTGGTTTTTAAGCCGAAGCCCACCGCATGCGCAGGTTTCTGATGCAGCTTCCTCTTTACCGCAAGATAAAATCAATACAAGAACAAATGGCAAAATTCTAGTCTGGTCTAAAATGAGAGAAAAGAGTTTTTCAAATGCTGGTTATCCTATATGAAAACTAAGAGATTGAAGATCCTGTCCCAATCTTGCACATCGTTTAATTAACAGAAATTTAACCTTGAGGGTCGAAATATTTACTATTAGAATGTAAACGTAAGGGCTAAAGGGAAATGCTATGACCTGAAAACATTGAAAGATTGCGACAGAACAGAGCCAAGGAATTCTGCTTCAGCACCACGGAGAGATCACGTCTACAGTTTTGAGTTTCTGCTTTTGACAATTATAGAAATGTTGCCCCCACTCTTAAAATTCCAGTCGGAAAAAAATCCTGATTCTTTGGTCCAAACTTAGCATAAGGTATCTACCCCGGAGCTGTGCAATATATATCTTAGGTAGTGGTGGTCCAGATTGCTTTAAAAGGGGACCATGCCTTAGGAAAAAAAATTAAAATACGTGTTTCTGTGGGCGCATCCCAGGGATCCAGGACTGAGACGTGTCCGCACTTGAATTCTATTTTCTTTCCGAACCTCTGGTCAAGCCCATCTGTCCCTCCACTGTGCAATCTCACACCTTGGGATGCCCAAGAGGGGCTGTCGGGAGAGATACCCGCACGAGGGCCTGCAGCGCGGTGTGTGTACCGCCTCCGTGCCCACTTTCCCTCTGCTGTGCGGATGGCCGGCTGGCCAAACGGAAAGCTCGCGGGTATCCCGCACAGCTGCGCCCCGCACCTCTCTCCCTCCGCCCACCCCGCGCCGGGCCCGCGCCTGCGCACTGCGCCGCGCCACGGGTGGTCTCGAGGCGGACGCCGGTCCCGGAGCCAGACCATTGGCCACTGAGCCGAGCCGGCGCTTCCCCGCGCGGGGGTGGCAGCACGTGCCGGGGGCGAGAGCGGAGACCGCAGCTATGGCGTCGTTACTTTGGGGAGGCGACGCCGGGGCGGCGGAGAGCGAGCGGCTCAACAGCCACGTAACTGCCGCTGAGCAGGGGAGGGCCCGGGGGCGGAGGCTAGAACAGAAACTCCCGAGGGAAGTCCCCTGGGAAGGGGAGCGCCCCGCCGGCGTGTGGAGTGGGGTGTCAAATGATGGGGGGCTGGGCTGGAAGGACCACAGAAAAGGAGACTCACAGAAAGGACCGACCTTTGATTTGAAAGGGCAGAGACCCCAGGAAACTAGAGCTAGTGCCAGCTGTACTGAGTTTTCTCCTGTCATAGTTTTGACCATTTAACAGGCTTTTCATCTTCATAGCCACCTTCTTCTCCCTGGAGGTGTTGTAAACCACCCATCACCCAGATACTGCTCATGTTCAGACTAAGAGCCCTTATAAAGAGAGACTATGGGAACTCCCGTCCTATTATATGAGAATTCATACAATAACACGGGTTCCTAAAATGAAATCATTAATCCTTAACATTGCAAAAGGAAGCATTTGGGGGTGGGCTTCCCTGCCCCTGCTGTAGAATAGCACCATGCTTCCGGCTTGAAGTCCTGCTTTCTAACCTTGGTTGAAATTTGTGCCTTTCAATAGTTTTCAAATCTCGTCCACCCCAGGAAGAACCTTCGTGGTATTAGGAGTAACACAGTCCCAAACATAGGTGAGTGTTGTTAGACTAAAGCAAGACTGGCTTAATTCAACACCTTTCCCCCCGTGTACCTCCAGCGGAAATAGCTTTGGCTCCCTTCCTCTACACTGAAAATCCTCCATCTCCTCAGTCACCTCACTTTACTCTTCCAGGAGATGGCTCTGTTTGCATACACTGTAGAGTCTGTGAGACGATCTAAGAGGGCATTGTATATTTTTGCTCAACATCTTCCTTTATGCTGCTTATTTCTCTTTTACCCTCACAGACGGCTCTCTTAACACGGAAGAAGATGATGATGAAGAAGACATAGGTAGGAGACAAGTTCGGTTGAATGTACCTACTAGCTTTGCTTGCCTGGCTTATCATCGCTTTGACGGTGTTAATAGGATTTCCTTGGGAAAGCACTACCTTTGTTTTATTTTTGAATGAATACTATCAGAAAAAAAAAAAACTAAATTAGGAGGGGGTGTACTTTCTTAGACTACATTGAAATGAAAATCGCAAGGTGTACATTAAGAATTTTCAGTTTGGCAAGGAAGACATTGCCATTAGATGTTGCTTTGCATGAGGTCAAGGGTTGGTACAACAGAGCGTAAGAAACTGGATCTCTGTAAAAAGAGAGGATTCCCAGTGTTAACGGCTTTCCTTCTAGGGCTTTCTTTCGTAAGGAAGATGAGAAATAAGTTGCAGCTGGTTTACGTATACTGCTACTCAGGAGAAGATAACAATTAGGTGTCATTCAGGTGGTTTGATGCCCGCTTTTGGTTTTGCTTCTTTCAGTGGATTTGGCAGCCAATTCACTCTTAAACAAGTTAATCCGTCAGTCCTTAGTAGAATCCAGCCACCGAGTAGAAGTCTTACAGAAGGATCCCAGCTCTCCGCTCTACTCGGTGAAAACATTTGAAGAGCTTCGGCTGTGAGTATCTTAACTTTTAACATATACGGATGCTTATGCTAGCAAGTTATCAATGAGCTACTATGCTAGTTTACTAAAAGCCGTCAGCATCACCTTCCCTTCCTAGTACGCTGTATTAAAGGAGATCCTATGACTTACATGCAACTACCTCAGGGAATACTTGGATACCTAAGTTGCCTAGCAACCTGGGCACCTTTTTGGTAGAAAATATTTTAATCCTGCAGGAGTTGGGGATACCTAAGCCAAGCACAGCCGTGCTTGGTGTCACTCTCCATATCAGAATCCAGACACGGGCGTTGATGACTTGAACATTATCCCCTTAGCACTTCTTAAAAAGTTAGAAGGTTTTGCTCTTCTAACCATACTTTATTTAGAATGGTACTAAAATGAGTAACTTTCTCAAATGAATTTTCATCCCCTAGGGTTAAAACTGCCATGAAGAAAATATATTCTAACCAGTAATAATAATAATAATAATAATTAATAATAATAAATAGGCATCAGGTATGTGAGGCCAAACCAGGCTATGTGTACATAGGCAGAATGGACCTGATTAGGTAGCTGCTTGGCCAACTACCCAAAAGGCAACTTTTGCCCATGCCTGGGGGGGGGGCCCATTGCTTGAATTAAGAGCCTGTGGTTGAACAGCAGCTGGAGCACTCACCTCGGGACTTGGCTGTAGCTCAGTGTCACTTATACTTACTTAGCACACGGTTTTACTTTGTAGTAGAGAAATGGTTTATGGGTCTGGAAGATGTCTTCGTTGATTATAGAATGTTGGATTTCTGATTCTTGTTTGGCCTTTGTTGCCAGGTTCTCAATCAGGAATACCCAAATGTATGGTTTCGAAGAGAAGGACACAGTAACATATGAACTTACATAAAGGAAAATGTCCAATATCCCGATGCCCAGACATTTTCTAAGTGATAGAGAAGCCTACGATTAAAACGTGGCTGCCACGTTTAATCCACGTTTGTCATCCACCAAGTAACGCACCAAAAAATGCAGCCAGGCATTGGCGGCGCGTTCCTTTAAATCCAGCACTTGGGAGGCAAAAGGAGGTGATTTCTGTGAGTTCGAGGCCAGCCAGGTCTACAGAGACAGTTTCAGGACAGCCAGACTGGAAAGGAGAGAGAGAGAGAGAGAGAGAGAGAGAGAGAGAGAGAGAGAGAGAGAGACAGAGAGAGACAGAGAGAGAGACAGAGAGACAGAGAGACAGAGAGAGAGACAGAGACAGAGAGAGAGACAGAGAGAGAGACAGAGAGAGAGACAGAGAGAGAGAGAGAGAGAGAGAGAGAGAGAGAGAGAGAAACAGAAACGTTCCAGCCCATTTGACCTGTTCTCATTCAGACATTTTGCAGAGGAGTACAGGAAAGATGCATTTAAAGTCCCTGCATCAGCAATATGGGATTATAGGATACTGAGTCAAATGATAAGGGTCACCTCAATCATCTTTTTCCTTTCTAAAAATTTCTATCATTCATGAAAAGGAATTAAACCATAAATTCCACTTGGTTTCCCAGTTTTATGGGAAAATAGCACTTGCAGTAAGTGGATATGTTCCTTTTATCAGATGAATCCTTCCCCCGCCCCTCCACAACTATCTCCTTAACACAACGTTTAGCTTCAGGCCGTTACTCCTTCCCTTAACCTAGGCTTCTAGCCTAGCTTATTATTCCAGTAGCCCAACTTAGAGGCGTGACCGTATATAGTCTGGGATAGAGCTGACGTATAAATAATGTATTTCTAAGTATTACTCTCAATGCTTAAAGAATGTTAATCTTGATTGCCAGCTTGACTGGATTTGGAAGGACCCAGGTCACACACATCTGGGTATGTGTCTGAGGTGTTTGCAGTGAGGTTCAGGTGAGGAGGAAAGAGCAGCCTGCATGTGGCTGGTACTGTCACGGGCTGGCGGCTCTGACTGAGTAAAACACAGGAGAGGCGAAAGCCAGCTGGGCATCATTAGGAGTCGCTCTCTGTTTTCTGACCACAGGCACAGCGAGACCAGCAACCTTACACCCTCACCAACATGCTCTCCCCACCGGAACGGACTTTACCCCTTCTTAAACCGCCAGCTAAAATAAATCCTTCTTAAGCCTCAGGCACTGTATCACAGAAAAGTGACGGTGCTCAGTTGCAAAGTGCTGAGTGGCACCTCAGAAGTGCACCACTCAAGTATGCATTTCTGAAGGCTGCCGGTACACAGATCAATGAAGCTACTGACCAGCAGAGGCTTTGCACGTTTGAGAATTAATCTTGTCTGTCTGTCTGTCTGTCTGTCTTTTACAGAAAAGAAGAGTTACTAAAAGGGATTTAT